TATATTGGATCCCTGTTACACCACAATAAAGAATGCATATCACTCTGTCCCACAAGCAGCTTTGGGGCTCTCTGATCACTGTTTGGTTTGTCTTATACCGACATACAGGCAGAAACTGAAATCAGCTAAACCTGTATTAAGGACTGTAAAAAGAGCATCCCTGTACACCAATGACTGCACCTCTAAAGACCCCTCTGTCAAGCTCCTGAAGTTTGCAGACGACACCACACTCATCGGCCTCATTCAGGACGGTGACAAATCTGCTTACAGTCAGGAGGTTAAAGAGCTGGGTGTCTGGTGCAGTCGCAACAACACGCTCAAAACTGTGGAGATGACCGTTGACTTCAGGAGAAACCCCCCTGCACTCACCATCATGGACAGCACTGGGACTGCAGTGGAGTCATTCAGGTTCCTGGGCACCACAATCTCTCAGGACCTGAAGTGGGACACTCACATAGACTCCATTGTTAAAAAGGCCCAGCAGAGGTTGTACTTCCTTCGCCAGCTGAGGAAGTTCAACCTGTCACAGGAGCTGCTGAAACAGTTTTACTCCGCCATTATTGAGTCTGTCCTCTACACTTCTATAACTGTCTGGTTCAGCTCAGCTACCAAATCTGACCTCAGAAGACTACAGAGGGTAGTCCGCACTGCTGAGTGAATCATTGGTTCAACACTCCCTTCTCTCCAAGAACTGTACTCATCCAGAGTGAGCAAAAGGGCTGGCAGAATCACTCTGGACCCTTCACATCCAGCACACTCCCTCTTTGAACTGTTGCCATCTGGTCGACGCTACAGAGCTCTGAGCACCAGAATGGCCAGACACAGGAACAGTTTCTTCCCTCAGGCCATCCATCTCATGAACACTTGAAAATAACTGTGGAACACACACTATTTATTCACTCATACACCTATTTATCTAACACACATACTCAGTCTACATTTCAATTTGCACATAATATACCTGTACATACAACTGTCTATTGTTATATACCTGTACATACAATTGTCGATTTGTATATTTTTTATTCCTTATTTTACTTGTTCTATTTTTTATTTATTAAAAATTTTTATTATGTGTGTTTTTTTGTTCTGTTACTGTCATTCTGTTACACTGTGGAAGCTTCTGTCACAAAAAAAGATTCCTTGTATGTGTAACCATACCTGGCAATAAAGCTCATTCTGATTCTGATTCTGTTTCTCAGTGGTAAGTGTCAAGTGTTAACAAGTTTGTGGTAATTATAAGATTTGATAAAACCAATGTACTCTCACAGCGTAGGATACAGCGTCTTCTCGACATGATGTTAACCACACAGAAATTTTACTGTTTGTGGGCGGGCAAGTTGGCAACGTAGAATGTGGGCAGACATTATGCAAATGTATTACTTTGTGACATAGAGCCGTAACCGAATAAGATTCGAATTCCTGACGACTCGTTTAGGCGATTGCAAGCCAACTCTTTTTTTTTTTGATAGACAATAACTTTATTTATTGTGCACTGTCGGCTTCACAACTTTGCAGATAGTTTATGTTCACATACAGCTACATGACACACTGCATGAAAGGTAATATTCAGAAAGGCATAATAGGGGCACTTTAAGGTGTGATTACATTTACCATTGTTCGTGATATTTCACAGGCGAAAACCACTCGCTTTAACAGGAATCCACTTGTGAGGGCTGTTTGATTTGAAAGTGACTTCTGTGTGAGCTCTGCTTCATACACCGCTACATAACTGACAATAGAATATTGACCTTTTTTGCTCACAAGATTTTGCTAATATGACCTAACGGCCCTTTAAAAATAAATAAAAAAATCTTCATTACAATGACAATTTATTGTATGACAGTTCACAGCTGGCAAATAGAACTAAAATACATCAAACTTTCTATTTGTTCTAAGTGTTATAAAGCCATACATCATGAAGGAATGACTTAAGCAAATAGACTACAATGTATTTGTCTTGCATTTAGTTCAACCAGTGAGGACAATACGGTAGTGGGGTCTATTTATTGAATTTTGTAGTATTTCATAGCACTCTTTCTTTCTGTGCTGGAAAGGTCTTTCTTTTATCACATCTAAGGACACAAGAACACAACTGAGCTAAAAATGATTTCTTATGTCATGGTGCAGTACATGCACTAGCAGAGCCGCAACTGAAGCAGTGCCGGAAACCCTGTCACAGTATTTTAGTATAGCCTTCCTTCCACAAATGGAACATTATTAAATTTTTAAGTGAAATGGTTTGATTTGTATTTGTTATTTATTTAAATTTTAGTTAAATTATGTCTGAATTTATGATGTCTGTATAGGTATTTTATTAAGTTTTAGCTTTATTTAATTTGAGTTATTTTAATACTTCAACAAACTAAATGGAAATTAAATAATATATATGTTGAATTTATAAATATGTATGTGTGTATAGTTGTACATACACATATATGTAGTTTTGTTTTTTTGGTGTTTGGCTTAGTGTTATGTTAGAATCATTATTAAGAACTGTTGTTGTATGCATTTGTCATTTTTATTTAATTTCTTTATTTTTAAAATGTGTATAAGTAGTATTTATAAAGTTTCAGCTTTTAGTTTTGGATGTGTTTTTAGTTGTTTTAATACTACAGTTGATTGATTCTGTTGTCCTCATTAGTAAGTCGCTTTGGATAAAAATGTCTGCTAAATGACTAAATAAATAAAATAAATAAATAAAAACTGGTCCACAGTGCTAGTCATTGTTGACTGTTTATTTTTATTTTACTTTTTTTATTTATTGTTTGTCTTTTTTGCCAATTTACGAAATACAGTTGTTGGACAGTAAAATTTTGGATCTTTCTTTCTTTCTTTCTTTCTTTCTTTCTTTGCAACATACTTTACATATATACTCTGGTCTGAAAACTTGAGTCCACTTGACTCTTTGAAAGGTTTTGAGCTTTGAGTCTTCTGGAAAGTAATACCCATCATATTTGACAAGCTACACTTTGGTGCATTTGATTTGGGACACGTGAACACACACACACACACACACACACAGCAGAAAGTATTGACTGGTCCCAGTGTGTGTGAGGCAGCTTGCAGCTGCTGTCATGGTGTGTTTCCATCAGTGCTTTGGCCTCTGGAGTGTGAGTAGAAGGTGGGGGGTCTTTGTGGCTGTGCTCTCCTGTTATAGATGGCTGTTAAGATGCCTGCAACCCTGCGGGGGTCATGATGACTGAATGAGGCCTCTCTCTGCGCCAGGCCTTTGAGAACGGTTGAGGCGGGAGGGGAAAAAATGAACACATCTCTCGCAACCGATATCACAGGCTAGCGAGGCACAGCTAATCAAACAAAATGGCAGATATTAAATGTGTGAGTGTCTGGTGAGTCATGGCAATGTATTTGAGAGAAAGAAAAACAGAGGAAGGTTGTGAAATAGGTCTCATTTACTGACGCCCTTTCCTTTATGTGATTTTTTTTTTGAGTCTTTATGAGATATCATGTTATGATGTTGAATTGAGGTTAATGGTACTAAAGCTGGTACTTTTTCACAGATAGTCAGAATAACCGATACATGGGTGAAAACATTCAAAAGTAGATCACGGTGGGTTGTGTTCACTAACTGCTCATATGCATATATTTCTGCATAAGTGTATGTGAATGTTTTCGCACAGAAATCAGGATTAATTAGGATTAATAAGTTATCCAGAAAGGAGCTCAAGCCGGTCTGCCCAGAATACTTATCACGTTCCGTGTTCGGTTTGAATGTGTTTATTGTGTTTTCTGTTCTACCTGCCTTGGCCTAGTTTTCCTGTGTTGCCTGATTTGTTCATTTGATTCCACCTGTGACTGATTAATTATCTCTTTGTTCTCCGTTCATTTAAGCCCTGTGTTCTCCTGAGTTCCTTTGTCCTGTATTATCTTTAGTTGATGTGTTTGTTCGTGCTCCTGGTTATTCCCCTGTTCTTTGAGTTTAAGTTGAAATTAAAGACTCTTATTTGGATTATTCCTGCATTGTGCGCTTCTCTACAGCCACACCGCTACAGTACTACTGCTGTTAATGTCCCACAATAATTCACACTAATTATCAACAAGTTTGTACTGTTTTCCTCCCTAAATCTAGAATAAAATTTAGAACCAACTCAAACCACACACAAATGACAGACTCCTGATGATCTTAAAAATGGTACGGTTTAAAAGTTTGGGATCTAAATTATTATTATTTTTTTGTCTGAAAGAAATGAATACTTTTTATTCAGCAAGAACACATTAAATTGATCTAAAGTTAAAACATTAATAATTTTACAAAAGATTTCTAAATAAATGCTGTTCTTTTGGTCTTTCTATTAAACAGAGAATGCTGAAAAACATATCAGTTTCCACAAAAATATTAAGCAGCACAACTGTTTACATCATTAATGATAATAAGAAATGATTCTTAAGCAGCAAATCAGCATATTAGAATGATTTCTGAAGGATCGTGTGACACTGAAGACTGGAGTAATGACTTTTCTGATAATTTAGCTTTGCATTACAGTAGGAAATTACATTTTATAATATATTCTTTATTCTTAAAAGTGTGATTTATTTTATTTTGCCACATTGTTAAAATAATTACATATATTTAAGCAATTTAGTGACTTTAAAATAATACTGTTTCCATTTAATTTGGAAAGTAAAATTTTTCAAATTTTTGGAAAAAGTGCAAAAAAAGGTACTTGAAGTTCTTAAACTTGGTAACTCAATTATTTTGTGTTCATCAGCATTACAACAAGGACAAAAACAAATGTGTGTGCACCAAAGTTGTTGTGAATCTGGTAGAATAAAGCTGTATATAGGCTGAAATAAAATAAAGCTGGTCACCAGCTGAATCAGCTTAGGTGGTCTTTTTTTTCTTTTTTTCAAGAATGAAAGCATTAAAGATGCAAATGTCTTCATTCAAGACTACTTCCGCTTAACTCCTCCATTGTACTCTGTTGAAGCAAAACTAATCGTTTTATTTCTCTTTTTCTCTCTCTACTTCTCTGCTTTAGAAGAGACAGCATTTGAGGCAGGAGTAAGGGTGCAGATCCACAGTCAGGCGGAGCCTCCCTTTGTACATGAGCTGGGCTTTGGAGTCGCCCCAGGCTTTCAGACCTTCGTGGCTACCCAGGAGCAAAGAGTGAGTGAGCTTTGACTTCAAATGTTTGTCCTCAGCCTAAATATTTTGGTCTCTGAAGCCCTATTTACACCTGGTATTAACTTACATCTGAGCTGATCCAACCACAAGAGTTCAGTAATAGCGATGCTTAAATCACAGGAGTTCAGTAATAGCAGTGCTCAAATCACATTTGATAGTCAGAAACGGATGCCACGACATCTCATTGGTAATGTAAGTAATAAGGCATTCTGACTCATCCCACACATCAGCTCCGAACACCCCACCAAAACCAGATCACCCAGGTTAGTAAATGGGGCCTTTTTAATCCACCCATGTGTTCATGCTCCTCATTGCTCCACATTTCTATTCTGTTTCATGTATAACGTTTATATTTCCTCATGGGTGTTCAATCTTAATAGATCATCACATGGTTTTTGTGTTGTGTGTCCGTGTGTGTGTGTGTGTGAGACAGGTGAGAGTATAAGCATACCAATTGTTTTTTTAAAGGCCATTCACTTAAATATTGACGGCTCTCTATGATACCTACTCCGCTTATTTTTAGTTTTTCTATTGGTAATTTCGCTTTCCACTTTGTTTTACTTTGTCTTTGTTGTCCTGATGCTGAGGCTTTAATATCTCCAGCCATGACCTTGCTGGCAATCTGTTTGCAATCAGTCTCACTGAGTCAGAGTCTCACAGTGAGCAGAAAACAAGCCTAGCAGTGTGTTTTTGTGAGAAAAGAGTGATTTCCATGATTAATAATTAGTTTGGTGCTAATTCAAACAGTTTCACACATGGTATTACGTGTTTTTGTGAAGAGTCATCTGAATGGCGTACACTCATATGAGACTGTAGACTGTCCTCCATAATAGTTTTCTATAAAAAGTGATTTAATTATGTATGGTGCGGGTCCCCACTCAATGTACTTTATTTTGCCATGTACCATGTAGTTTGGTGATGCAAACCTAGACAATGAACTATACAGACTTTACCAGCCGAGACAACAGAAGAAACAGTAATTGTACAGCTGAAGAAGCAGAAAAGGTCTGAAGTCAGAAGACGGAAATACTGACAAAAACAAAACATGAGCATAACATTGGCACTTCCATGTTAATTGCACTCACGGATGATTACAGGTTTTGTTTGATTATGCTAATTGTTATTTTAGGTGGCTGTAAAACTGAAACACAGGCTAATGACAGTGTGCTAGTAACCTCAGCCCTCTATAGTAGTGGTGTGTAATTACGTTTATGAACATTAGAACTGTTTGACATGCCTTCAGTGTTGTGCGTTTGATTCCTTGTCATAGCGGCCCAATAATATACTAAAATCACTGGCAGAAATCAGCTTTAATATTGGTAATAAACAACCTTTTTTTTTTAGTCAAAAGCATCTGCCTGCCGGTATAAACTCCTGTGGATGATACATATGCAGTTGTGGTGTTTCTGTCAGAGTGTCTGCAGCCTTCGCCCTTCCTGCTTATCTGAGAGTGAAAGGCTGGTGTTCACTTATCTGCTGTAGTGTCCAGGTTAGGGAGGGTATCAACATCTCTCCCCGGACTACTTTTATCTGTCAGGGTCTCCTGCTCTCTTACCTTGTGCTATCTGCTCTCTCTCTCTATCTCTCTACAGCATGTTTTAGATTGCTTTTCATTTAGCAAAACAATTTAATTGTGCAATATATTTTGGTATAATACTTTTATATTTATTTTAAGGCAATACACTTCAGGCAAAACTATTATTTTTTTCTTGCATTGGTCAATTTAACCAAATGTGCACTGTGCATCTGCAGCTCTATCAAGTGATAAACTGCAAAAATCGCTTGATCCATTCAGATTTAACTCCGAATTTTGTGTTGTACAGTTTTGTTTTTATACGTAAAATGTTGCTGTTATTACTTATATTAAATAATGAGGAATATAAATCACTTTCATAGAGGTACAAATTTGAAAGTGTTAAATTCACACTCTCAGTGAAAAAAATAATACTTTCTCAGTGTTTATGTAGGTCCACACCAAACAGAGTTAAACTAACACTTTAAATAGTGTTACTTTTTTAACATTGCATAGAGTTAAAACAACACTGTAAGTGTTCACCATTAACATTATTGCTTTTCCCCCTCATTTACACCAAGTTAGTGTTGAAATTACACTAGGTGTGTTAATAGCTTAATACCAAGGGGAGTCATTTTCACACAAATATAGTGTTCATGCAAACCCTGATTTGTCATTAAATGTAATCTGCATTCAGTTCAACTAAAAATACATAACGTGTGCATTCAATAACAGCCAATGCGTTGTATCAGTTTAAACCTTTATTTTCAACTGTTCTCAGATAGAACAGTTAAAGGTCCCATGAAATCAAAATTGTAGTTTTTTGGGTGTTATTATCAATAAGTTAGTCTTAAGGTTATCTATATGCCAGTGTGCTCAAAAACAGTGACAAAATTCACATTTAGAAGATATAAGCATTCAAAGCTTGCAGTTCATCACTTCCGCCAAAATGGATCAACTACTTTTTTTACGTCACCTGGTACTTCAGTTTCTCATCAAACTTTCTGTCCAATCAAATGCTCTCTTGAATCTGAAGCGTCCTGCCCCCTACACTATAAATAGATGCTGACGCGCCGGCTGAAATCGGTCACTTGTTCACAGAATTTGTATTTTCTGTACGATGAATGACACGTAGTGCACTATATAGGGGATTGGGAACGATTCAGACAGTGTAAATATGCTTTCCATTGAGGAAAAGGTCACGCTAACCCACGCACCGCACACACAGTCTGCTCCGGTCCAGAGACACGATAGCACGGAGCGGATCATATGCGTGAGTCGGCGCAGACCACAAAATGTATCGGAGCTATTTGAATTCTACACAGAATGCTATATTTTATAGCAATATGGATGAGATTGTGGCTGGCATACCCTGTCAAATGCGGCTTTACGGAGCTCAAAGGCTCTGAATGGCTTTAGTCCAAGCTGTGATTTAAACTAACACTACTGGCTATTTTAAAAAGGGGCGGGGCTGCTTGATATGTCCCGCCCTGTCTTCCTGTTTCAGTTAAAATGACGTCAACACATAGAATATAACGCTGCGTTTTTCAAAGCATTTTAGGGGACCTTTAAAAGAACGATAAAAATTCACCATCATATCACCCATGTGAACTCTACAGATCAAAAGACATGTAGAACTTCAAAATGTTGGCTGTTAGATGTACTCTCAACTTAAAATATCTTTGTACTTTAAATACATGATGCTCTGAAAAATGTTTTGTCATTTGTTGTAGAGTGTAGCAGGAAGATAAAGACATTGACAAGGACCTACTGATACAGGTTGAGCACATAGTGGACTTAGAGTTTGATAGCACTCAAGGAGCTGTTTCCTTCAGAAGGGATGAGAAGCTTGTCCGACCACATAGAATAAGGATATCTTGCCCTTGATCCTTCTCAATACCAGTAGGTATGGCTGGTGGTCCTCCCTCTGACTGAGATGGCCTTTAATACTGTGGGACTGTAAACAGCAAAAACAAAAATTAGATTAAACAAAGAAAAGAGAGGGGAAGAAGATAATTACTATGTGCATTGATGAATACATAAAACCCAGCACTAGTAACCATGGTTGTGCCGATTGACGATAGTATTGTGTATCGACGATAGTCAGAGATATCGTCTGTGGCTGATGCCTTTGACGATAGCTAGACGATTATTATTATTATTATTATCATCAGGCTAATAATACTATCTAATTAATATTAGGGCTTATTTGTTGCATTGTATTTCTTTTTCCGTATTTTACAGTAGTGCGCGTTATAACCAATCACACACAATTATGCAGAGCTTATGAATGCATTGGCCAATCAGAGGCCTTCAGATGACGCGCCACTGAAATAGCGGAGTTCTGTTCTTCAGCTCGCGCTGACTGAATTCTGACTCGCAAATTCTCTCATCATAAACAACAAAGTACGTGCGATGTAAATATAAGAGATTTATTCATCATACAGTGTAGATTCACTGACTTTAATGGGAGTGTTATTAAAGTGCATATACTCACGCTAGACTGAGTTTGTGATGATGTTCTTTGGTAATGTAATGTTCGTTGCTTGTTTTCTGTAGCTGCTTTTTGAATAACTGAGGAAATGTAAGCATTATAATTAGTAACTTACGATGTTTCTATTCATTTGTTATCATGTTAAATACAAATTCAGTCATATTAAAAACATTAGGCTGCTTTTAGCCTTACACTGGAGTTGCTTCCCTTTCCGGCAATGAAACTATGTAAATAAAAATTAAATAAATTAGCATGATAATATCGTGTATCGGCGATCTCACAGGCTGACAATAGGATGATATGAAAATTTAGCATATCGCCTACTTGTAACTTTTGATGATGAAATGTGCTTTAAAAGGGTTAGTTCACCCAAAATGAAAATTCTGATATCATTTACTGACCCTCATGTTGTTCCACACCCAAAAGTCTTTTGTGTATTTTTAAAACACAAGTGAATATACTTTAATGAAAACAGAGATTTTTGACCATGCATTGAGTCCACACAGCTACCACTTTGATGCTTAAAAAGTTCTTAAAGAGATTGTAAAACGAATTTATATGAATAGAGCAGAGCAGACACGGTTGCCTTATATGATGAACAGATTGAAATTAGGCTTTTATTCACAAACAACAATCAGCAAACAAACAGTTCCTGGGAAAGCTCAAATGATACTGCATAACACGAGAATGAACGTCACTGGTTCTCCTGCTTGATCTTCCGTTTAACATATCTGATGTTTGCGTTGATAAATGTTTAAATTAGGGATGGGCATTTCAGGCATAAATAATATTCGAAGGTCGCCTGGTATTATTCAATTATTATTTGAAAATTGCACCCCTCCCCTGAATGCATGCACACACACATGTATAGGCTACAGTACACTGCACACCCATTAACAGAGAGAGGGAGAGAGACCATTCACGCTTTCAATCTGTATGTTAACAAACGGTTTAATTCATTAGCGAATAGGCTATCTTAACTCGAGCTAT